TCACTTCTGGGGTGTGAGTTTTCAGTTGCATATTTTCCTGGGGACCATTCAGGCTTGTTCGCATATATATATATATATATATATATATATATATATATATATATATATATATATATATATATATATATATATATATATATATATATATATATATATATATATATATATATATATATATATATATATATATATATATATATATAATTTCATTCACTTCGGAAATTCGAACTCTTGACCCAAATAACGTGAGGCAAAAGCTCTACCTCTAAGCCATACAGACGGTTTCAATATAGATTACGATCCCAGAGCGCTGTGCACTTGGCCGTGAGGACCCTAAAGTGTGTGTGTGTGTGTGTACTCACAGAGTGTTTCTCATCTAGTTGTGCTTGCTGGGGTAGACCTCTGCTTTTTCGGCCCGCCTCTCAACTGTCAATCAACTGTTTCTACAACTACTTTTTTTTCCACACCATACACACACACACCAGGAAGCAGCCCATGGCAGCTGACTAGTTCCTAGGTACTTATTTACTGCTAGGTAACAGGGGCATAGGGAGAAAAAAATTCTGCCCATCGTTTCTCGCCGGCGCCTGGGATCGAACCTGGAACAACAGGATCAAGTGTCCAGCGTGCTGTCCGCTCCGCCACCGGCTCCCGGAACTGAAAACTGAACCGTGTGTGTGTGTTTGTGAGTACTCACCTAATAGTGCTTGCGGGGGTTGAGCTCTGGCTCTTTGGTCCCGCCTCTCATCTGTCAATCAACTAATGTACAGGTTCCTCAGCCTACTGGGCTGTATCATATCTACACTTGAAGCTGTCTATGGAGTCAGCCTCCACCACATCACTTCACAATGCATTCCATTTGTCTACTACTCTGACACTGAAAAAATTCTTTCTAACGTCTCAATGGCTCATTTGGGCAATCAATTTCCACCTGTGTCCCCTAGTGCGTGTGCCCCTTGTGTTAAAAAGTCTGTCTTTATCTACTCTATCAATTCCTCTGAGAATCTTGTATGTTGTGATCATGTCCTCTCTAACTCTTCTCTCTCCCATTGACGTGAGGTTTAATTCCCGTAGTCTCTCCTCGTAGCTCATACTCTCAGTTCGGGTACTAGTCTGGTGGCAAACCTTTGAACCTTTTCCAGTTTAGTCTTGTGCTTGACTAGATATGGACTCCATGCTGGGGCCGCATTCTCCAGGGTTGGTCTGACATATGTAGTATATAATGTTCTGAATGATTCCTTGCACAAGTTTCTAAAGGCCGTTCTTATGTTAGCCAACCTGGCATATGCCGCTGATATTATCCTCTTGATATGAGCTTCAAGGGATAGGTCTGGCATGATATCAACCCCCAGGTCTTTCTCTCTCTCTCTCTCTGACTCTTGAAGTATTTCATCTCCCAAATGATACCTTGTATCTGGTCGCCTGCTCCCTACACCTATCTTCATTACATTACATTTGCTTGGGTTAAACTCTAATAACTATTTGTTCGACCATTCCAGAATGGTCGAATGTGTATGTGTGTGTGTGTGTGTGTGTGTGTGTGTGTGTGTGTGTGTGTGTGTGTGTGTGTGTGTGTGTGTGTGTGTGTGTGTGTGTGTGTGTGTGTGAGTGTGTGTGTGTGTGTGTGTGTATGTGTACTCACCTAGTTGTACTCACCTAGTTGTGCTTGCGGGGGTTGAGCTCTGGCTCTTTGGTCCCGCCTCTCAACCGTCAATCAACAGGTGTACAGGTTCCTGCGTGAGTGTGTGTGTGTATATGTGTGTGTGTGTGTGTGTATATGTGTGTGTGTGTGTGTGTGTGTGTGTGTGTGTGTGTGTGTGTGTGTGTGTGTGTGTGTGTGTGTGTGTGTGTGTGTGTGTGTGTGTGTGTGTTACATCACACAGGCACGCATGCATGACTTTTCCAGAGCAGTCTTTCTCGTGTGTGTATCCCAGGTGGAGCGTGTTCAGTGAACTTATTTGCTCTCGAAAGGAAAAAAAGCATTCGTGAGTATTTTCTGGCCTTTACGGCAGCGCCTTTGTTCCTCTGATCACCTCCTCTGCCGGTCTGGAAAGAATGACGAGAATAAATATAACAGAGCGCCCAAAAAATTGTGGTATTGTTAACGATAACAAAAAAAGATTGACATGTACGGCGGGAATACTCATTAAAAAAAAGGCTAATTTTCTCTTCATAAAATAATAATACCTGAAATTCTCCTGTGCATCGGGTTGTTTATGTTCCCAAAATTACCAATAGCAGTTTTTCAAACGTCCTAGAAAAATATGGCCACGTTATTCATAAAATTCAATTGTGTTTTTATTGCTTTTAAGTGTTTCAATGGATTTATTAAAATCAATATTTTTTTTTTCAGTTTCTCTTTATTTTGACGAGTTCACGACCTGTGTAATTCATCTTCTTGGGGCTCTAACAAACACAATTGTCACGAAAAATACATACAAATCGAATATAGAACGAATACTTAAAAATTTTCTTAAGATCTGTGGCACCACTTTCAAATGCATAAGCAGTGTTATCGGTGTGAATAAGTGTTCTTATGGCCTAAAACACTCCAGTGCCCACCATATGGGTAGGGACCTCAGTTCACTGCTTTGGCTCGGGTCTGCCATGGTGTTAAGATGGCCCTGATCAAATGGCCAGAACAAAGATGTTGTCTTACCTGCATATTGAGATCGTTGAGGCTGATAGTCCTCAAGAGAGAATGTTTTGACATTGATCTCTTTCAGAGCGTTTAGCTTGGTATTATGAGTTGTTGATCAATCCACACACTAGAAAATGAGGGGACGACGACGTTTCGGTCTGATCTGGACCATTCTCAAGTCGATTCTCACAATCGACTTGAGAATGGTCCAGGACGGACCGAAATGTCGTCGTCCCTTCATTTTCTAGTGTGTGGATTAGTCAAAATACTTCAGGCACGTTATTGTGACTCATCGTCTGCATTATGAGAGTTCTTCGTGACCAAGTTCTCGCTCTTCTTGCTCTTGTAATAAGTTACTAACCATATATTCTTATAAGTGATGGTAGGAGGGGGCACGATTCTCTCACAACACTTTCTTTCATTTCTTAAGAGGTTGAAAAGAATTCCTTTGGAGCAGTTCAATTGGTTGAACAAATTTTGTAGCGTTCATGTTTCATCAGACATGAGATGCATCGTTTTTTTTAATCTCTCCGACGTATTCTTTCTATTATTGATAACTGACATGCACCTGCCTTACTCAACTGAGTTATCCATCAACCTGCTTTCAACCAGAGCTGTGTGAGAGATCACGGTTGATATAGGTGTTGAACACACTCTGCATGAATCAGACGAAGCACTCACAGCATTAAGGATCATTCCCATTTTGGTTCCTCTAGTATAGACGGCAATGTGGAAACCACAATTCCCTTCCGAACGTTTTATAGCTAGGAAAGGCGGAATACCTTTTCTTACCATCTCGTAAGTGAAACTTATCACGTAACTTCCATCAAAGGCTTCCTTAAGCTGTAGCAAATGCTGAATGTTAAGTACCAAACCATTATGTCATCTACATGCCTACGGTAGACGTCAGGTATTAGGTTCGAGTCATTAAGGACTTGAGCTGATTATTGTACAAGCAAAAACTCGCAAGTAAGAGAGGGAAAACCCTTGGTGACACCATCTACCTGTTTGTACCAGATTCCGTCACGGTTCTCTGTTCATGCATGGAGCAGTTTGCTAAGTATTAATTTTTGGATGTGAACTGGCTGCACAAAGAACTAGTCTATGTCCGCTAGTCCTGCGAGAAGGTAACAGTGGGGAGCAAGCCAAGGAGCATGTAGTGAACACAACCGTCCAGCACAAATAACCTCACGTAACTGAAGAACAGGTCACCTCACCTTACTCTGCACAAGTCACCTCACATGACTTTTAGGGAGTAAACAATGGAGTTGAAACTTTCGGGTTGTTAAACTCATGTGTCATTTTTGCTATGTAATTAGACTCCTTGACGTTGATTCAGATCTAACCGATGACAATCGAAGGTCAGTACAGTGGAATCACTGTCAGCGAGAGGACGGCTCATGACTTTACAGTGATATCTATCAGCAGTGAACACAACTTGCCTGAGGAGCAAACCTGTGCCATCAGAGATACCCACGTTAGCTCCAATAGTATGATTGTTGGCAAACACAAATTGAAATCTAATTTATCGATAGGAAGGTTTAAGAACATTACACAGTTCTCTTTGATAGGATCGCTTACATTACTTCGTTTAAATGAGCACGATATAAATGTTCTAGAGTCACGTTCCCACACAGTACTCTCATATATAAGATAGTTATTATATTTCCACAAATTTTGTGTCCTATTTATAAAAAAATTTACAGGCTCGTGATTCCTCACCGTGATGACCTGTGTAGAGGCCCGAGTATCAGTTCTCATTGTGACTCCAGTTAAGGGTTTTTGATCCCTCATAGCATCTCACGAAGATAACTGCGGGAGAGTTATGTTTTAATATATCTGAAACACATTCAGACGATGTTTGTCATTAAACATTACCAATATTTATATTGTCAGGCATAGTGTGCCTGACACTCATTAGCAGAGGCAGCATTAATGAGGATGGGGTCCTCCTTGAGGTTTAGATACAGTTAAATTTATCAAAATAATGTAGCAACTGCAATGAACTAAGGAACTAAATGTTGACCAGACCACACACTAGAAATTGAAGGGACGACGACGTTTCGATCCGTCCTGGACCATTCTCAAGTCCATTCACAATCGACTTGAGAATGGTCCAGGACGGACCGAAACGTCGTCGTCCCTTCAATTTCTAGTGTGTGGTCTGGTCAACATACTTCAGCCACGTTATTGTGACTCATCGCCTGCATAAGGAACTAAATGATAACAATGAAGTAAAACATAACTTTTTCAACGCTGCTGAAGCCGCGTCGTAAAGTTTGAAACAAAACCAAATTACCCTTCGAGTTGTGACATCTTCTATTCATGAACCAATTGTGATTCAATAAGGAGACACAGTTCATGACGACGATGCATTTAAAAGATGTAAAGTAACATTTACGCGACATTGTACATCGTGAAGAATGTCCGCGCGCATCGTGAAGAATGTCCGCTCGCATCGTGAAGAATGTCCGCTCGCATCGTGAAGAATGTCCGCTCGCATCGTGAAGAATGTCCGCTCGCATCGTGAAGAATGTCCGCTCGCATCGTGAAGAATGTCCGCTCGCATCGTGAAGAATGTCCGCTCGCATCGTGAAGAATGTCCGCTCGCATCGTGAAGAATGTCCGCTCGCATCGTGAAGAATGTCCGCTCGCATCGTGAAGAATGTCCGCTCGCATCGTGAAGAATGTCCGCTCGCATCGTGAAGAATGTCCGCTCGCATCGTGAAGAATGTCCGCTCGCATCGTGAAGAATGTCCGCTCGCATCGTGAAGAATGTCCGCTCGCATCGTGAAGAATGTCCGCTCGCATCGTGAAGAATGTCCGCTCGCATCGTGAAGAATGTCCGCTCGCATCGTGAGGAATGTCCGCTCGCATCGTGAGGAATGTCCGCTCGCATCGTGAAGAATGTCCGCTCGCATCGTGAAGAATGTCCGTGCGCATCGTGAAGAATGTCCGCTCGCATCGTGAAGAATGTCCGCTCGCATCGTAAAGAATGTCCGCTCGCATCGTGAAGAATGTCCGCTCGCATCGTGAAGAATGTCCGCTCGCATCGTGAAGAATGTCCGCTCGCATCGTGAAGAATGTCCGCTCGCATCGTGAAGAATGTCCGCGCGCATCGTGAAGAATGTCCGCGCGCATCGTGAAGAATGTCCGCTCGCATCGTGAAGAATGTCCGCTCGCATCGTGAAGAATGTCCGCGCGCATCGTGAAGAATGTCCGCTCGCATCGTGAAGAATGTCCGCTCGCATCGTGAAGAATGTCCGCTTTAAGGGCGAAAATTATATTTTCAATGTGCATTTGTCCTAACAATTAGTGTTAGAGGATGAACAAGAGGGGAAGAGAGTGCTTAGTCATTCCCAGCAATGCCTAGATCTCAGTGACCCCGCTGACGACTTCGGATACAAATTGGAAGACAAAATGTCAAAATTGTTTTTATTCCCGGAGAAGAAAAATGTTCGAAATGAATTAACATTTTAAAATAAATTCGCTGAATATTTTGCCATCTCCTTTTTCGTTTAAACTATGATGCGTAAAAACTAACTAAGATCACTATCACAATTTGACATATACTTCGAAACAAACGTGTACACACTCACACAAACACATACACACACATACACACACACACACACACACACACACACACACACACACACACACACACACACACACACACACACACACACACACACACACACACACACACGCACACACACACACACACACACACACACACACACACACACACACACACACACACACACACACACACACACACACACACACACAGTTAGAGAAGATTCAGCGGTATGCCACCAGGCTCGTCCCGGAACTGAGAGGTATGAGCTACGAGGAAAGGTTAAAGGAGCTGAACCTCATGTCCATGGAAAACAAAAGAGTAAGAGGGGACATGATAACCACCTACAAAATTCTCAGGGGAATTGACTGGGTGGACAAAGACAAACTCTTCAGTACGGGTGGGACACGAACAAGGGAAAACAGGGGAAACTTAGTACCCAGATGAGCCAGAGAAATGTAAGAAAGAATTTTTTCAGTGTTAGAGTAGTGGAATTCACTAGGCAGTGATGTGGTGGAGACTGACTCTATACACAGTTTCAAATGTAGGTGATAGAGCCCCATAGGCTCAGGAATCTGTACACCTGTTCATTGACAGTTGAGAGGCGGGACGAAAGAGACAAAGCTCAACCCCCGCAAGCATAATTAGGTAAGTACAATTCGGTGAGTACACACACACACACACACACACACACACACACACACACACACACACACACACACACACACACACACACACACACACACACACACACACACACACACACAGAGGAGCTGAAGGAATGGTCGAACAAATGGTTGTTAGAGTTTAACCCAACCAAATGTAATGTAATGAAGATAGGTGTAGGGAGCAGGAGGCCAGATACAAGGTATCATCTGGGAGAGGAAATTCTTCAGGAGTCAGAGAAGGAAAAAGACTTGGGGGTTGATATCACGCCAGACCTGTCTCCTGCAGCACATATCAAGCGGATAACATTAGCGGCATATGCCAGGCTGGCCAACATACGAACGGCATTCAGAAACTTGTGTAAAGAATCATTCAGAACTTTGTATACTACATATGTCAGGCCAATCCTGGAGTATGCAGCCCCAGCATGGAGTTCATATCTAGTCAAGGATAAGACTAAACTGGAAAAGGTTCAAAGGTTTGCCACCAGACTAGTACCCGAGCTGAGAGGTATTAGCTACGAGGAGAGACTACGGGAATTAAACCTCACTTCGCTGGAAGACAGAAGAGTTAGGGGGGACATGATCATCACATTCAAGATTCTGAAGGGAATTAATAGGGTAGATAAAGACAGTCTATTTAACACAAGGGGTACACGCAATAGGGGACACAGGTGGAAACTGAGTTCCCAAATGAGCCAAAGAAATATTAGAAAGAACTTTTTTAGTGTCAGAGAGATTGACAAATGGAATGCATTAGTAAGTGATGTGGTGGAGGCTGACTCCATACACAGTTTCAAGTGTAGTTATGATAGAGCCCAAAAGACTCACAAACCTGTACACCTGTGGACTGACGGTTGAGAGGCGGGACCAAAGAGCCAGAGCTCAACCCCCGCAAGCAAAATTAGGAAAGTACAATTAGGTGAGTACACACACACACATACACAATCACACGCACACACACAGACAGCTAACGTAGTCCCAATATACAAAAAGGGTGACAGACAAGAGGCACTGAACTACAGGCCAGTGTCCTTAACTTGTATACCACGCAAGGTGATGGAGAAGATCGTGAGGAAAAATCTAGTAACACATCTGGAGAGAAGGGACTTCGTGACAACCCATCAACATGGGTTCAGGGAAGGTAAATCTTGCCTTACAGACTTAATAGAATTCTACGATCAAATGACAAAAATTAAGCAAGAAAGAGAAGGATGGGCGGACTGCATTTTTTTGGATTATCAGAAAACCTTTGACACAGTACCGCATAAAAGGTTGGTACATAAGCTGGAGAAACAGGCAGGAGTAACTGGTAGGGTGCTCCAGTGGATAAGGGAGCCAATAGGAAGCAGAGAGTTACAGTGAGGGGTGAGACCTCAGATTGGCGTGAAGTCACCAGTGGAATCCCACAGGGCTCTGTAATCGGACCTATCCTGTTTCTGATATACGTAAATCAACTGAGAGTTGAGAGGCGGAAACAAAGATCTGAACCTTCCTATTGCGTATTCTGATATACGTAAATGATCTTCCAGAGAGTATAGACTCATTCCTCTCAATGTTTGCTGACGAAGCCAAAATTATGAGAAGAATTAAGACAGAGGAGGACAGTTTGAGGCTTCAAGAAGACCTGGACTAGCTGCCAGAAAGGTCGAACAAATAGTTGTTAGAGTTTAACCCAAGCAATTGCAATGTAATGAAGATAGTTATAGGGAGCAGGAGACCAGATACAAGGTATCATTTGCAAGATGAAATACTTCAAGAGTCTGAGAGAGAGAGAGAGAGAGACCTGGGGGTTGATATCATGCAAAATCTGTCCCATGAATCTCATATCAAGAGGATAACATCAGCGGCATATTTCAGGTTGGCTAACATAAGAACGGCCTTTAGAAACTTGTGTAAGGATCTTTCAGAACTTTGTATACCACATATGTCAGACCATATGTGGTATACAAAGTTCTCTCTCTCTCTCTCTCTCTCTCTCTCTCTCTCTCTCTCTCTCTCTCTCTCTCTCCTTCTTACTCTCTCTCTTCTCTCTCTCTCTCTCTATCTCTCTCTCTCTCTTTCGCTCTCTCTCTCTCTCTCTCTCTCTCTCTCTCTCTCTCTCTCTCGCCCTTTCTCTCTCTCTCTCTCTCTCTCTCTCTCTCCTCTCTCTCTCTCTCTCTCTCTCTCTCTCTCTCTCTCTCTCTCTCTCTCTCTCTCTCTCTCTCTCTCTCTCTCTTCTCTCTCTCTCTCTCTCTCTCTCTCTCTCTCTCTCTCTCTCTCTCTCTCTCTCTCTCTCTCTCTCTCTCTCTCTCTCTCTCTCTCTCTCTCTCTCTCTCTCTCTCTCTGTCTCTCTCATAGGGAAAACATGGAAGGGACACGAAATCGGAGTGACAAACGCAGGATGACTATCGCGGCTGGAACAAATTCAGAGGAAGGGGTGGAACAGGAAGCCTGGATGAAGAGAGTATTCCAGGAAATGTGGGATGAATTCAGTGAAGGACTGAAGCTAATGAGGGAGACAGTTGCCAACCTGCAGGATGAACTAAGGGCAGCAAAGGAGGAGATAAGATGCCTGAAGAAGACATCTCCACAATACCAGACACAAACCGTGCCTCAGGGAGACAGGAATGATACGGTGGATGGAACCTCCACACCTCAGCTCTCATTTGCTGAAATGCTTAAAAGTGCCCTGAAGCTAGGTCTGCAGTTAAGAAAGTTGCCATGGAAGTGGCTTCCTCTCAGGAAGCAGCTAGATGTACTAGCCGGCTGATAGAGAGAAATAGATCAGTAGTAGTAGCAGGCATTAAGGAGCAAACAGGGACCAGACCAAAGGAGCGGAGAGACAAGGACAAAAACACAGTTACCGAGATCCTTAATGAGGTAAGGATGGAAGGAACTGAACAAAATGTTGAAAAGGTTTTCAGGCTTGGAAAGTATTACAAGAACAGAGACCGAATGATAGAGGTGGTATTCATGAGCGAAATCACGAAAGAGGAACTATTAGCAAGGAAGAGCAGTCTATTAAATCTAGAGAAGTTCAAAAAAGTATTCCTGCAGAGGGATATGACACGGGAAGAGAGAAAGCAGGCAGCAGACGCGAGGAAGGAGTGCAGGGAGAGAGAAAGGAATCAGGGAGCCAGAACCTCAATTCCTACAATGCCAGAGGGGAGTGGGGAACCCTCCTCAAACAGTGCAATAGCCACAGGGAGTGTGGCACCACCCCCACATTCTACCCAACAGACACCCTATCTGCCCCAACCCCTGTCAGCCCCCCACTAAGTACCCACCTAAGGCACCCTCAAACCACCCACCCCCCTCCTCCCACTCACCCCCCCCCTTCCTTCCGCTCTCCCTCCCCCCAGGACCTCACTTCTCCCCATCCCCCAAGCCCTCCCTTCTCCCACATGCCCTCCCGTCTCTCCCACCCACAAGCCCTCCGTTCTCCCCCCCCCCCCCACTCTCCCCCACCCCACCTAAGCCTTTCCCTCTCCACCACTCCCCAAAACCCTCCTCTCTTCCTCACCCACCTCAGCCTTCCCTTTCCCCCCCCACGCCCCCCAAGCCCTCCCCACTTTACTGCCCCCCAACACCCCCTCTTCTCCCCCATCCCCCCAACCCTCCCCCTCTCACCCCCCCATCCCCCCAACCCTCCCCCTCGCACCCCTCAAACCTCCCCCTCTCACCCATGCCCCCAACCGTCTCCCTCTCACCCCCCCCCATCCCCCAAGCCTTTCCTCTTCCACCAGTCTCCCCGTACCAGATCCTTCCAGCTCCCGCTCACTCCAGACCCCACAGGTCCCCCCCCCCCCCAGAGGAGAAGCAGAAGAGAGTCAGTTTCAGGGTGATGTACTCGAACATAGATGGGATCACTAGCAAGGCAAGTGCTTGTGATCCCAACAAGGGATCACAAGGGAAACAAGTAACAAGGGAAAGAGCACAAGAAGTGAACCCAGATGTACTAATGCCGTGTTTCCCCAGGAGTACACAGTAATAAGGAAAGAG